ACTAATTAGGGGGTGTTAAATGTTAATGGGCTCAAAGAAGAACCATGAAAAACCTGAAATATTGACAATACCTCAGTTTTTCCAACAGCTATAAGTAATATTTTCTGATAGTGATGCATATAGAGAATCTATTGCTTATTAGAAAATGTGTGTTACTAATAGCGTTTGGAATATGAATAATATATTACTCATCTGGTTTTCATTCTAATGGGATGAAGAGAGACAATCTCTTGATGTAGGGATCCCTCTGAGCAATCAAAAATGGGTCTGTTCTCTTAATTAACTTAGCAAACCAGGTTTTTTATTATCCACACTGTTTTACTTCCCCTCTGTGCTGCATTCTGGAGTGAATGGACTAATTCTTTCTGAGATAAAACTCAAATGTAGTTTTGGTATAGTTTGGGGATTGTTTCTGCACAGTGTGGATGAGAAGCTCCTTGTTTATCTCCCTTTCATCACGCTATCCTGATAGGTTTTACGTCCTTAGCATGCACACACACACCCCCCAAGCAAGGTGGACTGCCAGAACTGTGCTCTCGAAACTATCATGACAGCTGTTAAATTTCGTGCATTTTGTCCCAGGCTTCAGTAAGGCTACAGGCTGGTCTGTGATACTGCCAAAGGTCTTTCTGTAAGTTTATGGTCTATAGTCACAATCGGATTCCTTGTTCTACAAGGTATTTCAGTAGTGGTGAGTTGCTGTACAAATTTGAAGTGCCCCGTTAAACCTGGCCTTGAACACTGCCAGGGATTAGGCAGCCACAGCTTCTCCGGGCACCCTGTGCCAATGTCTAAGCACCCTCACAGGGAAGAATTTTTTCCTAATATCTAATCTAAATCTACCCTCTGTCAGTTTAAAACCATTCCCTGTTGTCCTGTCCCTGCTTGCTCTTATAAAAAGTCCCTCTCCAGTTTTCCTGTCGGCCCCTTTAGGCACTGGAAGCTGTACTACAGTCTCCCCAGAGATTTCTCCAGGCTGAACAACCCCAATTCTCTCAGCCTTTCTGCATGTGGGAGGTGCTCCAGCCCTCTGAGCACCTTTGTGGCCTCCTCTGGACTCGCTTCAGCAGGTCCAAGTCCTTCTTAGGTTGGGGGCCCTAGAGCTGAAGGCAGGGGATAGAGACAAAGCAGACATGTTACAGGTTCATATAAAGCATCTAGTCAAAAGTCTTCTGTGAGGTCATCTAAGCTTAAAAAATAATTTTTACGTAAGTATGCTCTGATGTGGACTTCACTAAGGTAACAGTAGCTTGTCTTAACAGAGATGAGAGTACCTGTGTGTTCTCTTCAGCCTTTGCATCAAAGCAATTTAGGGTCACCTTTCCCAGTCAGTACAAACAACTATAACTCAGGTGAGCTGATACACTACTAGAAAGTCAGAGTGCACATGCTGTTTGTTATGGTTGGTTTGTGTTGCCTGAGTATCTCTTGCTTCAGAAGGTATTTTTGTGCCATGTTTCTTTCAGTATGTTTATTCTGATACTCCTGATGCATATGCTGATTAT